GGAAATTCATTTAACAGTCCTTCACCATCCATTTACATGGTTTTTAACTACCTTCGGAATTAACCCACAACCTTTTAGTTGGTATATTGTTTAAATACTTGTAAAAGACTCCTGATGAATTAAGTTTTCCTTTTGGATTTTTTTCGTTATTCATTTGCTCTCCCCACGGTTAAGGTTCATCGCGCGCTCAGTGGCTTCATCCTGGATGCGGAAACCGGCTTAGGCCTGGGAGGAGCTCTGATCAACGTCGCCTCAATCAATCACTCAGTTTCTAGCGCCTATCCCAATGGGGATTTCTGGCGTCTCTTCCCTAAATCTGGTATATTTCAAGTCTGGGTGACTCGAGATGGGTATGTACTTGTTTAGAAAGTATCTATTTTATTTCTTCTATCTGCGACATGTACATTGGCGATAACAGTACGTTAATTGCTAGTATTTTTATATGCCATCATGAACTAATCCACAGATCCTTCAATTATCGGACTAACAGGGCTCCAGGTCACTATTTGGACTATAGCTATATTGCTAATGTTCGCATTGCTGCCAAGAAATGTTTAAAGGCCCTAAATTATTATTATCTTGGCATCACTTTTCTCCAAAACGAAGGCTATCTCACTAACCTGTCGCCCTGATTTACTACTGATACATTTATTCGTTAGGACAGAAGTATTGATGCAAAAATCAACCTCCATATGCCAGTTATATCCCAAGAAAATATAGTCCAAATGCTCTAATCCCTGTTCAAGCAAATCATAAAAATGTATTCATCTGCCAACTGTTCCAGAAATTTTAATAAATAAGCTGTTGCTAGTCGGTATTATTTATCATCCCAATGCTATGCTTTTAAGGCATTCTTATAAAAATAAGTAGTCATTGCCGAATCTTGTAATGAGGTTTTCACAAGTGATTATTCCCTTTTTACTGCGAATCTGGCCAACGTTTGACTTATGTCTGTCTCTTGAAGTAAATGAGAGACTTACATTTTGTATTTAATTCTTCCAAGTCTCAAGTCAAGAAGCCTAACTTATTTACGTGTCAGAAAATTACAATCCAAACCTGGCCTCATCTACATGATCACTAAAAGAAGAGTTCATATTGCATTTTTTGGTGTGCCAAACATACAGGAGAAAAGGCTTGTTGTGTTCGAGTTACCAGGCCTACTTTAGAAATTAAGCGGGTCCGCAGCCTTATTAAAAGGGACAATTTTCAACAATAATCGCTTTGGGGAATTTATAGGAAAAAAACTAAATTAGGCTCATAATTGAATTCGACATTAAAAAGAGAGACTTTTATTGTCGATTGCAGATAAGTGCACAATTATACTTTCCTATTTATAGCCCACTCTGAAGGGAAAATCCAAGAGGGTTTAGGAAATGTTATTGACTAATCACGTATATCTCAGGCTTTTAGTATTTTCGGCAAACCCGTAAAAATCTACCTTATCCATAATGAAGACCGAGACAATTAGATATAAGCAGTACCTTTTACAAATGAAATTAAGTATTTTACTTTGCCTTATCCACCTTTCGTTTAAAATTTATGATGTTCTCATTCATTATCCTTTTACCTCTATGAGCATCCGCCTCTCGGTTTAACCTGATATTTTGCTATAATATTAAGAATTTTATGTTTTGAGTGAATTATTTAATTTATCTACTTCTAAGTCCCAGAATGCATTCTTACTTTTAGTTAGTTTCCTTTTCTCGTTTTCAAGACCTTTTATACTCTATCTCTTTTCTCCCTCAGGGTGATTTTCTGTTGATCTTTAAGATGGTAACAATTTCTAACATTCGTCCACTGGCAGGATATAAGGATTCGACCCAGCTCAGTTTATAATCTTTAAAATATATCATTCTTAAGGGATCGTGTTTATCATCACCTCAATAATTTACAATAACTGCAATATGAAGTTGAACAAATGCCCGTGCTTGGGTGTGAGCCAATGTAGATTTTTTCGTGAGTTAGTTCTGTTCATCCTATTTCGTTTAAGGTGATGAAGGACTGATAGTTGATTTTCCCCACAATGATATGAGTATAACTGACGTTTCCATTGAATTTCACACAGCCTTGCTTTCCCAAAAGATGTTCTTATCCCGGCTGGAATGGACTGCAGTTTCGATCTTGCATAGGTCTTATTGACACCCCAAGCGGGCACACGTGGCAATGTTGAGTAGTTGTTAACGTGTCGAGTTTACAGGCTGCATTGTCATGGTTCGACTCCCACTTGGGGTGTTGATATGGCCTATACGAGGTCGAATATTCAGTCTACTCTACCTTTTGGGAAAGCAAGGCTATGTGAAATTCAATGGAAACGTCAGCTCTACTCATATTATTGTGGGAAAAATCAACTACCAGTCCTTCATCAACTTAAACGGAATAGAGTGAATCTAACTCATATATCTCAATGTGGATTGATAAGTATTGGTTATATCCGATCCGGGATTATTGAAGTGAAGACAATAAAGCAATAAATCACATGTTTTGGATTTTCGTGTTATATTATTCAGCAAGTTGCTCCACAGCGTTTTTATGACGCATGATCATATTTACAATGAGTTTTAAAAATCAAATTTTCCTTTATTGAGATTTTTTTGAGTTTTTCTTTCACTTACTATTTTATCATTGGTGCTAAACGTAATTCCTTACTACTTTTATTCCCTATTTTTCCTGACATTTTCACTTCCGCGCACTCAATATACTCCCTTACCGCATTCTTCCCCCCAGCTCACATTATCCCATTTTTACCCTCTTGAATATAGCTGCTAACCCATTCAAATGATGTTATATTGAATGCCATGCGCTTTAAGCTTTTGGTGCATAATTCTCTCGCATTTTTTGCTTTACAATTATTCAACATGTCCTGCATGTACATGCATAATTTGCCAGCACTTCTGCTTGCGAAGAGCCTAGATAAGTGGGTAGCGATTCATGTATGAAATCGCTTGAACGAATGGGAATGAATGCCTATACGACAGCTTGTCTTTATCCTTAAGGCTTGGCATGCAATCAGAAACAAGGATTAAAGCCTTAGAGACATTGTCTTAATCCTGTCTTGCGACATCTTCCCTTGGTTAATACACTTGGCCTATTGGTTTGGATCGTTGATAACGGATGATGCATGTAAATGGTCAATTGGTTCATTTTTATTTCCTACTATCATCGACACAAGCAAAAATATTCTGATATAAACCACAACCCAGCCCACCCATTTTAGCTGTTGCAATTATGTTTTCATCTTTTTATTCAAGGATAACAAGCGAGCTTTTATTTTTCTTTTTGGGTAACAGGACAAATGCAGCATTCAAGGCAAGTCAGGCATCTCTTAACCCATATTTTTTATTGTGGGATAGTCGTTTAAGTCCACACCGGACGAAAGCTCAGCCGGCTTTCACCTTGAGCAAGGAAGGATATCTCGTGGACGTCGTATAAAAGTCAAACGGCTGCAGTGCAACGAGATTAAGTCGTCTTCTTCTCGTGATATCGACCTACGAATAGCTTTTTCATCGACTTTCATATGAAATTAAAGTCCCCCCAACAATGAATCATTTGCATTATCATTCTACGTTGCTAGTTGGCGTTTATTTTTTTATTTCAATTCGCTTAAGTATATCACTCGAGCTTCCCTTGGATTCGGATTTTATTGAGGGTCATTTTATAATTAGTGTTGCTTAGCTCCTCTGCTCTGGCTTGAATAAACGCCTTTCGATCTCAATGCCAGTGTGTTTATGAGTCTTCTGAAAGTAACCACCAATCATACACTTCTTGGGTTTACTCAGAATGGATGCAATTCGGTATACCTTCGATTGATGCATATAACTTTTCTTGTTAGACATTAAAGTTGTGTTACCTTGCTACAATATAAGACAAGGCCTTTTTTTTCAGCCTTTAATGCAAACGTCCTTGATGGTGAACAAGAGGTGGGACTAATGAAACTAGCGAGGAGTGTTATTACGCTCTAGTGAAACTCTATTGGTTAATACCAAACAAGTTGAGATTTGTGATAAAATTAGAGTGGGATACTAGGAGGGGAGGGGGAGGGTAGATGAGTTGGCTAGGCCAGGGGAAGAGGTACCATAATCGTTCAGCACATGGTTAAACAAAGTATTCCCCCAACCTGTCTCTTTCACGAGTTTAGCTTGCCTCCAAGACTGCTATGGAACTTGCCATGACTACTTTTGACAAAGTACATTTTCTTAAGACTAACAAATTTCAAAAGCGAAGTTAGCCCAATCCTAGAATTTCTCCTATCTGAATGACTCTTTTTATACCTAATTTCTGGTGTCTACTGGTGGATGAATAAGATTGATTTCTATTCCTGTTCTCTAAGCTCTGCAATCTATGAAACAAGCCTGGGTGCTCTCCCGTAAAAAAAATTATGTTAAAATTGGGAAATATTGCTTATATTTTTCTATATCTTTTGCAGGGCAAGGATACTTTTAAATAAGAACGACATTTTTCATTTTTGGGCCAAATTATATCCTGTCAGCTGCTAGATTCTCTTTCACACCTTTCAGGTCCTAATAAACTTTTACTCTGCTTTGTTCTACTCATGTCTGAATCCTATCCCCTACATGTCCGTCATGACAGCCCCTTCCTTGAGTATACTATTCACTTTTCTTAACACGCTCTAAATCTTGTACATCAACCTTTTCTCCCTATACTTTATGTACAGCTATTTTGATTCTGACCCGGTAACACTTGACACTAGCGAACTGCCTTACGTCTCCTCTGCCCAGACGAATCGTCTTAACTTTACCCTCTGGCCAACCCATTCTGCACGTTTTAAGAAATGGTCCTCAATTTTTGACTTTAACTTGACCGAGAACATGCAACCCGTCTACACCTTGGCTATGGATGATCTGGGGGCTAATAGAACCTCTACAGACGGAGTCAGCCGTACTAACGTTGCTATTCTCGAATCGGCCTTAGTAAATCTAAAAAATCTGTCAATCTTCACTTCGGCCGGTAAACTGAGAGCTTTTCCTTCTCGTGTCAAAGTAAATTCTCATATAATTCTACTTTTAGAGCTATTTCATTTCTTGCTTGTGTCTACTGCTCTTTTTATATTCCAATTTTATATCATATAATTTTATTGGTATCCACTCCAGAAGCGGCAAGCATTACTTTACTCATGTCTGCTTATGCTTATTGGCTAATAAGGTATCAACTAGACTAGCAAAGGATGATTACGGTTGTAAATAGGAAACCTGAAATTTTGGAGAGTTGTTTCGATGTTACCGCTTTTCATCTGCGTCTCACTCTTCGTT